TGTTATGAATCAGGTGACCCCTGTGAAAAGGTTGCTCGACCCCCTAAGGGGTTTTGACTTACAGGTTGAGAACCACTGTTTTTTCTTCTTTAAATCATTTTGAAAAAAATAAAAATAAAATAAAAAAAATCATTTTGTTGGGGGCTCATACAACTCTTACATCCATCGAGTCAAGTACATTTGTGGCCATCATCAGTTCTCAAAACATTTGCTTTCTACTTGAGCCCTTGGTATCAGCTACTCATTTTTCCCCTCCCTCCCCACTCCCACTCCTTCATGAACCCTTGATCATTTATAAATTATTTTGTCATATCTTACACTGTTCAACATCTCCCTTCACCCACTTTTCTGTTGTCCTTCCCCCAGGGAGGAGGTTATATGTAGATTCTTGTAATTAGTTCTCCCTTTCTGGGCCACCTTCCCTCCACCCTCTGGGTGTTGCCTCGCTCAGCACTGGTCCTGAAGGGGTTCATCTGTCCTCGATTCCCTGTTTCCAGTTCTTATCTGTACCAGTTTCCAGGTCTTATCTGTACCAGTGCACATCCTCTGGTCTAGCCGGATTTGTAAGGTAGAATTGGGATCATGATGGGGTGGGTGGGGAGCAAAAGAACTAGAGGAGGGGGAAAAAAAACTAGAGGAAAGTTGTATGTTTCATTGTTGGCAACTGGACATCCCCTTACAGAAGGGTGGCGGGGAGGAGACGAGCCAGACAAGGTGCAGTGTAGCAATGAAAACCGTTGTTATAAGAGCTGGTGACCCCAGCAAGATAGAGGACGTGGAGAGCAGTCACAGATGTGGGAGGGGATGAGGAACACAGTGAAGGGACTAGCTTTTGGAAGACACTGCATCTTGAGAACAAGAATGAACTCTTTCAATGTCAGAGGAGTGTGGGGGTGGGGGTGGCAATCTTCCTCCCCTGTGCTCCCCAAGCACCTGTACAGGACTTCACTCTCCCCTCCACGCCACTGGGCCCCACTCATACCCAGCTGTTGTTGGTCTCACCGTTTACCTCTGATGGCCATCACCACCCATGAAAACTCTGATACAGCAGAATCCCGGTACTGAACCACATACATCAGTCCTTGGCATAATCGGATATCAATTCAGTGTTGAGAAAAATTTGCATGGGAGCTCGAACAAAACCAGATGCAGGCGATTTCTGTAATCAAAAGCAGTTCGTGTTTCGGTCACTTGACATCAGTTGGCATTGTCAGTACACGTTTATTTAAACCTCTTACGGCTGTGTTTCAAGCATTTTGCTATAATTACCTTAGTTTTTGTGGCTTTTTGTACTGTTTTTAGATAAAAAAAAATGGGTCCTAAGAAAGTGTTTTTTTAAAAGAATCATCATAAGGAACTGGTTAACTGTGTTATCAATAGTGTTGATAATTTAGTAAACCCTTTTAGAAAAGTTAAGGAAACACCAACAGCAGACATTAGACAGATTTTTTTTTTCTTGAGAAAGCCAGCCAGGTCCTAGTGAAAAAAGACAAAGAAGGAAAAACTCCCGAAAAGCAGCTACCAGTTGATTTTATGGAAGGGGATTCCCCTTCCAAACAATGACTCTCTCCACATCCTGCCCACAGATCCAGATCCTCATCAGTCTCAAGGTATAGGCCATACTGTAGCTGTTAAAAACGTTTTTAATGTTGTTTCTTAAATTTTATTATTTAACGCTGATCTTATTTACTTTGAAATGTAATGTTTTGTATAAAAGTGTAATGTTTTGTATAAAAAGGCAAGGTTGGGGTAAAAACTTGGTGGTTGAGAACAGATTAATCTGTTTTCAGTTATTTATGGGAAAAATTGATTTGGAACTCAACTGCATTACATCTCAATGCTCCTTCTGGAATGGATTGGTGTTGAAGTCGGAGGATCTACTGTAAAGCTCTTGGTAACATAGGAAGAGAGGCTTCAGAGTTCCAGACCAGCCAAGGAAGAAGGGCAGCAAGCCAGGGGAACAGGAAAAGCTAAGTCAACTCCGACAAGGGCGTGTTGCACCCCCTATATTACAGACCGTGCAGAAGAAGGTGGGTAACCATTTATTTCGAGAGCTAGAAAGAAGGTCAAGTGGGGAAGAACTGTAACTTGTCAAGGCTTCTGAGGGTATGCGCTTCTACTAAATTTGGGCAGGATTGGTGAAGCTGGGTGGTTTGTGGACAGACATGGACTACAAAGCTAAATGCATAAAATTATTTTGTTGAATGAGGAACATAAAATGTTAACGTAAAACCTGGTTTCTTCACATAAAGAAAATGTTTAGTACATTAGAATACAACGTAACAAGTTTGGTCTTATAATATCAACGCCCAATGAAAATCATGCTCGTCTAGTCAAGAGTTGGCATAGTTATGCTCCGAAATTCAGTGAAACATTCCACTATCTTTTAACTCACTTCCCACCATCTTTTGAAAGTCTCTTCATATAGTTCTTTGAGGCCCCAATTGTGTACACATGCCGAGGCTCATGACCTTGGCTGAATATGCAATCTGCCACTTAAAAAAAAAACAAAACCAACAACTGATGTTTGGACATTTCAAGAAGTGCCTGCGTGAGTCTAACCTGCTTTTAAAATACAGTGCTTTAAGGCTGGATAAATGGGTCCCAAACTAATCTTTGCCATCAGAAACCCCTGGATAGCTATTCTTTATGGAAATCCTTAGCCAAGCAATGTCATCCATGGCTAATTATTAAATTATGAGGATGAATAGGATAGTGAAACTAGAAGATTTTAGCAGTCTCAATGGTCTTAAATTCTGGTTATCTTTCAGGAAAGTCTACTTTTGGTCTGTTGGTGGGTCAGGGTCAGAATTACTCCAAAGTTTCAGACCTCTCTCCGCTCTCAACTTCCTGACCATGGAGGGAGAAAATCTAATTTGTTCCAAGTCTCAGCACTGACTCATGATGTTACCTTTGGGTCTCTCCATTCTCAGATAGGTAACAGGATCAGTCACCAACTTTTAGGTCGAGAAGGGTATGGGCACTTCTGAATCCCTTGAGGGCCTGTATGTGCACCTATGACTTATTATTAGAGTCAAACTGGGAAAATAAAGAAAAAAACCTGCATGGTAAAAAGGGGGAATGAGTTGAGAAATTAACAATAATTTTCATGTATGCTTTCTGCATGTGAAAGTGCTCTGTACAGGAAACACGACCACATTGAGTATTGAACAGGACAAAAATGGGAAACTTCTGCATGAGAATTACATGACTGCTCACAAGGTACCACTCAGTTCACTCTGAGAGACCCTATTAACGGCTGAATGAAACACGATCCGGTCCTGTGTTCTCCTGGCACGGCACTTACAGTACATGTTCCAGCCTGCTGAGGTGTGGCAAGGATGGGGAGAGAGGCCCAGAAGTCAAGAGACCCAAAATCCAAGCCAAGATTGGTTGCTTTCTGGGCATACTGCCTGAGGCACACAAGAGGAGTCACCTGGAAATGAGGACTAAACATCCCTTTCTGAGGCTCTTCCACATGTCAGAACATATGACCTAGACTCGTCTGTGCCTTGATTATGGGTTCGAGGACTTGCTAGTGAGTTACTCTTGTTAGGAGGCCGCTCCCAGGTAATGGAGAGCACACAAGCCGTCAGTGCTATAAGGACTACTGGCAATGAGCCACATGAATGCATGAAGTCAGTGCTAGGTACCCTGATCCCAGGCATAATGGTATACAACAATACAGCTGTATATCAATACAAGGCAGCATTTTACATAACACTACCTATTGCATCGTTTTTTGTTTGTTTTTTTTATCAGTTTTTCTCCAGGAGTACAGGTTTCATGTCAAGGCTTACCGTACGACCTTAGCCAATTTCTTCATAATGCTGAACGTCCCTATATTCCAACATCCCAGAACGCCTCAAAACAACCATCCTACTCCAAGACCTTGGGAGCCCACCCTTCCCCCCTCTTTTGCATTCCTTTTTGGTCCGCTCAGACTTAGAAGAGCCCCATTATTCCCTTTACAGACTATCCAAAAGACTCTCAAAGTGTGCCCTGGTTGGGCCTGTGCAGAATGAGAGCAGAGACTAATCGGGCATGCCACCAGGCAAGCTTTATTCTTTTCACTCTTATCCAGGAAAGGGGCTTCCCGGAGCATCTCATCCAAATGAAACGCAACGGTGGTCGTTGAGGGTTATGTTGTTTGAAGTTGCTGATCTCAGCAAATGCATGCAGTCCTACAGCCTTTGTGGTCAGCGTATGATGTCGCCACAAGTCCCCGAGTGCTTGGCCATGCAAGCTGGGACAGAGAGAGTGGGAAGAGGCTGCAGGGCTTTACCACATCGACGTTAAGGGCACGTTGACATGAGGGAAAAGGCTGTTGCCTGCTTTTGTCCTTTTAGGAGCAGCAGTTCTTAGTATTTTTGTTCATTTTGATTGGTTTGGTGTCTTAACTGCCTAAAGGCAGGAAGTTACAAATGTTGGTGAATGGATTGTAGAACTGCTACCCAAGTGATCTCCTGTGAACTCACTACTAGAACACAAGGTTCAGGGCTCAGAATTCAAACAGGCGGACCTAAACCAGTCACCTGCTTATTTGCTTAAAAAGTTAACAAAATCCTTAAAAATAAAATTAAGCAAAAAAAGGCCTTCTCCAGAATGAGAATCTCTATCCTCAGAAAGCCACATTCCAATTCAGGGACACAATCCGTTTAGGGTACAGTTTTAAAAAAACAAACCCTTGCCTTTCTTGGTTTTCCTTTTAAATTGGCTCTGAAATGTTTTGTGCTGCATTCCTGAAAGCATAACCTTTAGGGACATTGAAGGCCTCATTGTCTCTCTCTCGCTCTCTCTCACACACACCCCTAGCAAAGGGGGATGAAAATGTCAAGGGGGCATTTGGGGTAGTAGGTAATGATTAGTGCCTACAGCAGTGGTTCTCAACCTTCCTAATGCTGCGCGACCCTTTCATACAATTCATGTTGTAGTGACCCACCCCCCTCAACCATAAAATTATTTTTGTTGCTACTTCATCACTGTCATTTTGCTGTTATGAATGGGGTAACTCCTGTGAAAGGGCCGTTCGACCCCCAAAATGGGCCGCGACCCACAGGTTGAGAACCCCTGGCCTAGAGGAAGGTCTCTCCATCAGTGTTACTCAACTAGGTGGGTTCTGTGATGTCTCATCAGGTGAGAGTTAGAAATGAAAGCCGCACCACACCTGGCACACTCGTAGGGCTTCTCCCCAGTGTGGGTTCTCTGGTGTACAGTGAGGCTTGACCTCTGTCTAAAGGCCTTGCCACATTCACTGCATGTGTAAGGCTTCTCCCCATTGTGGATTCTCTGGTGAATAAGCAGGTATGAGCTACACGTAAAGGCCTTTCCACACTCATTACACACGTAAGGAAGGTCTCCGCTGTGAATCCTCTGGTGGACAATAAGGCAAGAGAGCTGACTGAAGGCTTTCCCACACTCACTGCAGTCGTATGGCTTCTCTGCAGTGTGAATTCTCTGGTGCACAATGAGATGTGAAAAACAGCTAAAGGCTTTCCCACACTCTTTACACTCATATGGCTTCTCACCAGTATGGCTTCGCTGATGCACGATAAGATTAGCACTCTGGGTGAAGGCTTTGCCACAGTCATTACAGGCAAAGGGCTTCTCCCCAGTGTGGATCCGCTGGTGGACGATGAGGTTGGAGCTCCGAGTAAATGTTTTCCCACACTCATTGCACTCATAGCACTTTTCGGTGATGTGCACTTTCTGGTGCCGAGCAAGCTGAGAGCTGTAACTGAAGGCTTTCTCACACTCACTGCACTTAAAGGTTTTCTCTAAGGAGTGAATTTTCTGATGCACAGTCAGATTTGAACTCTGAGTGAAGGCTTTCCCACATTTTGAACAAACATACGGTTTCTGTCCAGTGTGGATTCTCTGGTGCACAACGAGGTTTGCACTCTGAATAAAGGCCTTTCCGCACTCGTGACATTCAAAAGGCTTCTCCCCGGTGTGGATTCGCTGATGCACAACAAGGTTTGCACTCTGACTAAAGCCCTTCCCGCACACGCTACAGGTAAAGGGCTTCTGCCCCGGTTGGATTTTCTGATTCTTAACAGGGTCAGAACTAAGGCCGTGTCTTTCCCTAGGGATGTGACACTTCTGGTCTCCTTCTTCTTTGAAGCTGTCAGGTGAGTGGCACTCTTTCACTGTCACTTGTCTGAAATCTTTCTTTTCCCTCTTGATTCTTTGTTTCTTTAACGTGTTCCCCTCTTCACAGGTTTCTCCTAACTCAAGTTCTCCGGGGTCAGCTTTCTGGATTCTTCCTAACAGAATAAATGGTTTTTCTGTTTCATCACACATCTCGGTTTTCAAAACCAATGATGGTGTGCTTCTGATTTCAGCACCTGAAATAAGAAACAGAAAACACAAAAAAAATTTCTGGTCTAGAAAAAGGGTAAAATCAAGACATAAAGTTCAGGAAGTATATACCTTCAGTATCTCTAAGAAGTGACTTCATTAATGAAAACAAGCAAACAATTTGGTCCCTCTTGTACTGCCTCTCCTCCGTAGGTTGTTCTACAGGGTCCATATTGCCCCTAAATCTAGAACAAAATCACTTACCTCCATCAAACACTAAAGCTACGACCTCAGGCCAGGGAAGTCCATTCTCCAGACAGTGTTCTTCCCAGATGACTCATTTTAAATTAAGATTGCCTGTGAAGGATTACCAGGAGCCTGGTGACCTCACGTGTCACGTACGAGCTGTTAACTGCCAGATCCACAGTTCTAACTCGCCAACTGCTCCACCAGAGAAAGATGAGGTTGTCTGCTTCTGCAAGGATTTAAAGCAGCGGTTCTAAACCTGTGGGTTGCGACCCCTTTGGGGAATGAACGACCCTTTCACAGGAGTTGCCTAAGGCCATTGGAAAACACGTAATTCCAATGGTTGGGGTTCACCACAACTTGAGGAACTGTATGAAAGGGTCGCAGCATTAGGAAGGTTGACAACCACTGATTTAAAGTCTAGGAAACCCACAGGGGTAGTTCTATTCTGTCCTGTAGGGTTGTTATGCATCCTAATTGACTCAATGGCAGTGGATGTGGTTCTTGGTTTGGATGAAGGCCACTGGGAGCCATGGTGCAGTGGTTCAGCACATGGCTACTAACTGAGATGTCTGCTCTGTGGAAGACAGAGGAGGCCCTTTGCTTCTGCAAAGACTTAGCAGCCTTGGAAACCCTAGTTCTACTCTACTGGATAGGACAGACTCAACAGCACTGGATTTGGTCTCTGCAGTTATGATCATCTTTTGGGGGGGAGGGACGTACATATTCTCATTAGGAATATTTGCTGCACACATGTTGCACTAAGTAATTTGCTGATGCTGTCATTCTCAGAAGTTCACTTGTTGATTGTGGTAGTTACATAATCTGGTATCAACTTGAGACTATTAAGAATAAAAGGAGTGGAGTGTAGCCTGTCAATCAGGTCGCAGCTTGATGACCTCATCTGGAGGTGTTAAGGGGATAAATAGCTCACTGGAGGCCAGATACACACTCTGCTTCATCATCCTGCTGACTGGACACATGGAGCTATGCTGTCGGAGCCAGAGCTCTGGAGCTGGAGGAGCCGAGAGGAGACCCACAACAGCACTGAGATGCTTCCACCACCACCGGATCCACAATACTTTCCACCCACTGACCTGTGATCTTCCTGCATTCAGCTTGAGGCTAAAGAGGAATTTGTGGACTAGTATCGACATATTGGGTAATATTGGACTTATGGACTTGATTTGGACTGGGCTGGGATTTTTTTAATGTACAATTGCTCTTTGATATAAAGTTTTCT